AAAGGTCCATGTGACTGGCCTTTTAAAACTAACGTCGTTGTCTCCCTCATTTTCGAGGCGAGGGATTAATATCTGCTGCCTTGCAGTTCGCGCTTGGGTGTGCAAAGGCTAGAGGTGAGCAATCAAAATGAAAAACGCCGAGAGACGCTGGGGACGTCTCTCGCACCAAACTCCTACGGAACTTCATGATCATAATCACGATCATGTTTGGAACCAGCTCATCATTGTCAGGGAGTCAGCCGCAGTAAAGTAAAAAAGTCATTCTTTAAAAAAATGACAAAAATACCACTGATCCTTAGAATCCAAACAATCAATCATCATTTTACAGTCGAATTGTGACCGATCTGAAGTACACTCGAGTTGAGGAACTTCGTGTACAACTGGACACGGCATTCGGCGAGATTGAACGATTGCAGAAATTGGCCCAAAGTCAATCGATCGAACTGGACCACTGGCGAGGGGTTCAAAAAGTTCGAGCGAACAAGAAAAAGAACGATCCGGAATTCGTCGAACTGGTTCGACGGGTGAAAACGCTGGGTCAGGTGATCAAGGGTATGGACGAACAGAAGAAAGAATTGATTGCTCGAAATGATTATCTGGTCAATCGGATGCACCAGATTTTGGCCAACGATCAATCATCGATGAAAGAGATTGAGAAAGGTGAGTGGAATTTGTTAGATTTTCCTCCGATGAATGCAGTTTTCCATTATACATTTTTCTCAGTTTATTTTTACTTCTAAATGCAAACACAAGGAAGAGGTAACAATATAATGCATGAGTGAGAAAATTCTGCGGTTAGTAGATTTCAAGAGCTTTCGGCACGGTAAAATATTTTAGTTAGCATATCGTATACCGTATGTCAGTGAGAGGTTACTAATTGCATCGGGAAAACTGTTTTATAAACGTAGAAATAATGAGAATTAATCGATAAATTCGTTGAGAAAAACAAAACCCATAAGGTTTAATGACTACCTTTCTTTGGATAGTTGTGTGCGTATGGGCCGATGTGCTGAAGGTAGTCAATATACACGCGTTTTTGACTGACTTAACTGACGCATAGGTTTAGTAACTCAATGGATGGAAATACACCTAACTTTGAAGTACACAAGGACCTTCGAAATTCCTGTCATTGTAAAAATTTGATTTCTCACCCCTAATTAGCCTTCTGATGGGCGGATTGTACAATACCCGGAATGTGAATTCCCATATTTCGCTTCATATCGCAACAAGCTTCCAAAGATGGGATGTGCTATATCGTGTAAACGGAAACCGGTCTGATCAGCCGCCCGGTGGCGAAGTGGGTAGCATGCCTACATTCTGCCCATGAAGTCCCGAGGTTGGATTCTCAGTTAGGTCGATGGATTCCGGTCAGCTTTTCAGTTCACACCTCGTTTGTTATACACACGACGAATTCACCTTTGAAATAATAACAATAACAATAACTGGAGGGGGGTCGGGGTTAGGATACAGAACATGGGAAAAAAACGGAACTGTTGAAAGAGTTTATTCCCACCACTGCATAGTTCGCATTTTGGTCATGTCTACTACTGCCGACCACTTAATTCAGCTGGAAATCTTCGCGACTAGTTTAGTTAGGAATCAGTTCCTACATTCTTTTATGTGGACATTGAAGATGATGATCAATTTATGTGGTCTTCATACTTGCCCGATATTGTACTGTGTGCTCAACAAATTTTAGTTAAACAATCAAAGAAGTTAGTCGATGCTGAAGATGATCGTTTCGGATGAAGTGGTGGCCTCATACGTTCCCGAATACTGGCTCTTCGTTCTCTCAGTTTGGCGAACCCTCGACACAGGAACCCAGTAGATAGATTGGCTTCAACAGATAACTTGTGTTATATAATCCCTTTGTGTATGGAAGGGCTGGGCTGGGGTTTCGGATGGATAACTAATATTTCTCGTCCATCCTCGGATAGTCTAAGGCTATCTAGTATCAACGAAGGATCGGGGTTACCAGAGAAGTACACCAATCTATGAGTTAGGCAATTGATGAACTACTGGACCGACCATAGAAAATTATCATTCAGAATAGTTATGTTGGTTGAAACTAATGAAAAATGCAATAGAATGCGTGGCTTCTAGTATTGTTTCAGAAATCTCACATATTTGTGGTCGGAAATTATTATTTTACTTATTAAAACTTCCAAACTATTTGTTCAACGAGTGACACCCCAAGGACTTGAGAACAACCAACCTAACGGTATATCAAAGAAGGACAAGTTAGTTTTCACGTTGTGAACATAAACTTTATCTAGCTGATTGATTTCTTTTTGTGATAAAACTTGACTGCCACAGTATGATCGAATGTCTACATACGTGTATTTGTGCATAACAATCATACGGGGAAGTTATTTTTCTCTCACGGATCGCTATATGAACCGACAGGAAAATAATCCAAAATCAGACGGACCTATGTTTTTAGAGTAGATCAATTTTCTAAACGCATAGATTCAAATCGTGGGATTCATTACGACCAACGTCGGATTAACTATCAGCCCAAATAACAGTCATCATGACTAAGTAGGAGTACTTCTATACATAGAGAATTATCAATATTTTACAGATGTTTCTTTGTTATATTGAACAATGGCAATAGAATCAAATCAGAATGAAACTGTTTAGACAAAACATTCCTGGGTGTCATAGTAATAATTAGTTCAATCTTATATGTGCAATTTTCCTTTTCTTACCATGGAGTTTGAAAAAGTGATTGTTTTATCTTTTTGCTCAGGTCTTGCCGAGCTGAATGTGCACGAAGACCGCGTAAGTCTGAACGATTTCACATGTTCACATAACGTTTAACTAATAAAGGATGAGGAAGTGGATCAACACAATGAACCAGGATCCGTACTGATGGCCAAAATGGTCGAAAGCAAATGTGAGTGGAACAAACATGTCATTGCACTGAGATCATCTTATAATTTATTTGTTTTGTACGCACTGAGAATAATTTCCAAGGCATAATTTTAACTGGAACAATTGGATTCAACAAAATCTGATGGTATAGGTTGCAATCGATGAACTGAAAGTATGATCAACGAAATAAATAAATAAATAAATCTCTTCATGAATTAGCGGTTGACCAGGTCAGGAGCTCACTGAGCTCTCAATGTCCTCGGGGGCACAAGGTTGGAACACAGTAGGCTGGAAGTGGATCGTATCGTGTTACAAATTATCCACGTTCACGGTTGCCTAATCAGCCATTGTTTCCTCCCCCAGCCCCCACGGATGCTCTAAGACACCAATTTCGACGACTAGTGGCATTTTGTAAGTAGCGTTGTCTGAGGCTATGTGCGACGGAAATACACAACTGGACGTATGCATTTGTTTTCACTTTCTAACAGATTATTAAGAATTCATAACCAGTTTGTCAAAGCGTGTTACTCTTATATTTCTGGAAGTGATCAGGGGCAAAATATAATGGTATAACATTAGTTCCCACGTCAACCGCTGATGCAGTTTCAGTTTCAGTTTCAGTTTTACAACCATTAACCATACACTTTCGTGTGCCGGTTTTGGTTGTTGTCTTTTGGATGCAGTTTACCTTAAAACCACCAGGAGTATGCAATTGTGTAACGATGAACCGAGTATGCCCGTGATTTTATTGTATGGTAGCCCAACTAATCCAAGTAAATTTACCCAGTTTCAGTGTATACAACCGTTAATCTTGCATTTTCCCTCGCAGGGTTTGGGTTGTAGTCTTTTGGCAATCCAGTCGAATCAGAGAGTTGAAGGAAAAATTAGAAATCGGGTAGTAGTGTACATTTGAAGATAGGGATTCAGGTGGATTAATGTTTTGAGCAAGTGAACATGCGCCAATGTTCACAAAAGATGCTTATATGACCAAGTGTCTCTAACACAGGCCCAATAGGGCCTATAATTCTGCGTCCCATGATCAGGGTTTGCATAATCTCACACCAGGTTTTTAGTTTGCCCATGTTTAACCTTCTCCCACCTCTACCTGCCCTGGTAAAGACCGTTCCAGGGCCTTTTCGTGACAGTATAACTGCCAGGTTGCTCAGACCAAAGCAGGTGAATTGTCTCAGCAAATTCACAATAAGGGCCGTTTACTAGCTAGATATTACCCGCAGTACAGCCCGAAAGGTGTGCAAAAAACGCAATCTATTGGAGACCGGTGTGCGGTTCATCGGATCAGACGCCCTTTGGACGGAATCAAACGATCATAGGTGCCCAATACACCTTGACACCCAAATGAGCCGATGGTCATTGCAACAACCAGAACAATGTAGGCGTGTTATTCGTATGCTTCTTCCTGGTGGGTCTGGAGTCAGGATTTTAGTCAAATCCTCTAGGTGAACTGTCAGTGGTTCACAAACCCGGTTATAGCCACGGATGTTGGGTTTTCATCGACTCATTTGGGTAGGGAACCACCTTCACGGGAATGGAGTGAGTGGGGTTTCCTCAGCAGAGGCTGTTGCTTCGTTTCACGACCATTATTATCTAGTGTTGTGCATTTAATTTGTGGATTGCTTGTCCGGGCGCCTCATCAAACTCGAAAACTGAGACTTACAGAACTGTGTTGGAATACCGATATGCCCGTGTTATGACAGGTGGAAATTTATTGGCCGTTTCTCTACAGCTTACACGTAAAGTCAGTCTAAGCGTTTTATTCCTCACCACTTTATACTTCATCAAATTTCAAACAGCCCAGGTTAAACGTTTGATATATTCAGGACTTACACTCTGTTCCTTAGGACCGCACAAAAGTGCTTCCTCACCTGGGGTCATTGGTTTTGATAATATCTATTTGAGTGTATTGACATGTACAAAAAGAAGTTACGATGGTAACCAATGTTGATTGAGTTCATTAGGGCAAAGGGGAATAGCCAAATCATGTCTAAGCTTCGTTCTAAATTTCCCTCTGTCTTTTCCTCCTTTCTTTTCCAATAACAACGGTGTACCCGCAGTGTCTGAAGGCATTCGTTATCAGCAACCCATAGCCCGACCAATCCCCGTGAGAAATGAGTTTGCTGACGAATTGGCCTCTGCACGCAGTCAAGCGAACTCTTTGGAGTTAAACAACCAGCAGCTACGAGACGATGTTGCTTTCTACAAGAAACAGGCGGAATTGACCAAGTATGCGAAAATAAAATGTTTCTTTTCGGAAGGCAGTCTGTTGTGTGATCTTCAAGTCCAGCTCATCTGTTTCTACCTGTAAACATCTAGCTCAAACTGTTCTTATATATGTACCAAAGTTAGAAGTGGTAATCATGCAACTTTCTAATGAAATAAATAAATAATACAATGAACATGGGTAAGAAAATTTACTAAAGAGAGGCATAAACCAGATCAATTTTCATCAATTTGACCTATTTGTGAGGATACCGATTTCTCTCTGAAATTATACTACTTATGAGTAGCAAGACCATTTAAATGACATTAATGTTCGGTTATCTTCCGATGGCACCATGTCGCCCTGTCAGCCCCCGAAGGTTTTGTGTCCTCATGGAGTATTTATAACTCGGATTAAAATTAGGGATCAATAATAATACCCTGGGCAACAAAAAATTGTTTATCGATTCGGTTATAGTCCCACTCGTTGGCCTTGTTTTCTCGTACACTGGTAGGTGAATACAATTAGTGAATCTTACTGGGCAGATACCATCGGAGACAATTGACCCGATAAGAGTGTTTCACGGAGTGTAAGGAACTAGTAATTAGTTCCGACCAAAGGCTCCATCCCTAAGTTATATTGAGGCGTTTGGAGACATACCGCACATGTGTAGTTTCAATGCAACAACTTGTTTGTGACTGTCATCTATGAATGATCATTACAAAAACAGCTGAAAAGTAAAGTGCAGAAAATTGTAAAAAAACTATTGCAATAAAGTTTCTCCGTTTCCAACTAGTCCGTTACCAAACCAAGCTTGCTTGTCACTTTGTGTTCCATTGTAATCCCTGGGTGCATTCGCTCAGCTTCCGTATGAATTCCGTTTTGAATAGGGTTTCAGCTAAGTCATAGGTTTATTGTCTTTCGTTTTCTCCCTGCCGTTATGCGAATGAAAAATACCCTACTAAAGTCAAGCGCAGCATTTGATCGAGCTACGTCCCTCTGTGAAGATGAAACAGTTGAATCGTTATTTTCAGTCTTTTTAGAAGGTCATTTAATGATGTTTCATTTCACATGTTTGATGCAGACCAACGGATTAAAAATGTTGCACGCAATGCGTTCGGCGGAAGACCCGAGTACTTTAGAGGCTGATCTGAATATATTGATAACTTTGTCTGCCATATAGGAACTACCGAAAACTCCAGTGAAGTGTGCACATATGCATTTGGGGTGTGCGTAACCCATGGCAGTGTTCCTCCTATGGGACCATTCTTTGGACGGAGCATTGTGAAGGGGATCCCGAAGTGGTGGCGTCATTCTTGCTTAAGACACAGAGTCGTACAGATCGAGTTTGTGACTCTATCTGTATTATGCTGATCCTTGTACTAATTGGACAAGGGTGTGAAGAGCCACCACATATCGCATCGTGTGGCTGCGTGGAACCGGCCGTGAATGACGTTTCAATGCAACCAGCTTATTGACGGATGTAGTTTCATCCATGTGAGAAATTTCGCGGAGTATACGGGATCGAAACTCTAAGATCTTTACTTCGCAGGGTTACTCGCGCGCTCCATTTCATTCATTGAACGTGTGCATCTGAGGGTGTAACTGTATGCGCACCTTCTGGGCTGAGCGAACAAAATCCGAAAGGACACATTTACTAGAGGAATATTTCTCCAACAGCTGCTTAGTTGAAAAACAATTCGCTCGACACTCAAACCATTGTTGATTTGTCACTTTTGAACGGAAGCAGTATAAAGACAAATTTGAAGATCGCTTGGTTGGTTGCAGCATGTGATACGCAAGTCACTACACCGATGGTCACGGCGCGCTATATTTGTCGAGGAGATTAGTGAATGGATAAAGGTCAAGGGCGGTCAAACTAAGACTTGATATGAAGGTATGAAAACCCTATCCACGAGACTCGGTCAAGTAGGTCGCATTGAGCTCCCCGGATTTGGACCTCAGGATCATCCTAACCAGTGTTTAGAGACATTGAGTTTCACTAACAGAGGCGCACATAATCCTCGCGACCTTCTTCTATGTGAATTCCCTATTTTCGCACTGAATCGGCTCTCAGCATTTCTACATTCACTCTGTTCTTTTATTGGAAAGGGCAGCCAAAAGACAGCAGCTGAAAGCGCCGCAAGTAGGTGCAGGGTTATTGGTTGTAGAATCTGTTATGGCTTACAACTGACTGATTTATGTCCATACATGCCTGTGGTCAAATTGATTGATCGATCGACTGACTGTTTGAATTCTGGCTTGACGGCATGAGCATGTAGTGAAACGTGTGAGCCGGAGTCTGTCTGCCTGCCTTCCTTCCTACATACTGATCGTTCCTACTTGTTCCCGTGTTTGTGTATCGGCTACATATTTGCTGCTTGCAACAAAATTACTGTTTCATTCGTTGTGTGCTCATTTGCCTACTTAATTTGGGACACAACAGAACCTGAAGCTGAAACTGAACTGCCCGAACTTTCTTCTATGGGCCTTCCAATGAGGTACCGTCCATTGTAATAGATCACAGTCATATGAAGTGCATAGTATGCAACGATGATAAGTTTCAACGTTGTGTGTTAGTTGTGGATAGTTGTTCTCTAAAAGAACTAATCAGTCTGCATCATTCCGGAAGGCTTAGTCACCCTTGGTGTATGCCTGCCTATCGCATACGTTTCTGTGCTCTCTTTGCAAGTGCTGGGAAAGTTTAGGAGAAGAGTCAGGCAGTTAGTCAGACCATCTTCTGACGTAACTATGTGAAGAATGTAGTTTCAGCAGTGACCTCCGTCGATACAGCCGACTTCTTAGGTTGGGGCCCAAGAAATAAAATTATCTTTAGATAAAAGCTCTATGGGCTATTCCCCATAAATGACCAAACGTTCCCGCGCATTTGTCGCAAGCTTGGATAGCATGCACTGTTGATGGCTTCTAACTGGAATGAAACAGCTGTACAGTAGTTTCAAGACTAATCAGTGTTGGGAAGGAGCTCAAGGAACCCACCAGGTCGCGTAAGCATATGCTTTACACCGCAAGCACCCTAGCGATGCACAAGGCAAGTCCGGAACGAATCGATCAATCGGTTGTTGAAGGACACAACTGTGCCTTTCTGGTTTACCTGATTTATCCTATCTATTTGCTGATTGAACCTTAATCACCGAACACACTCCGGTCGGTCGACGAAAGTGCATGGTTGATGGTTGTAAAAACTGAGACTGAAGCGGTTGGCTCTAGTTGTGTTCTCTCCCCGCGTTGTTGGGGGTTAAGCAAGAAGCGTTCGTGTCAACTTTACGTCTAATGTGAACTCCACAATCAGCAGTAGGCTCGTCACATTGATGTGGTATAGAAATCACCCGCAAAATACTTTTGATTGGATGACTCGAGTATAGAGTGACAAATAAGAATAATGAGTACAATAGAGGTTTACTTGAAGTCTGTAGAAAGTTCGCGAGAGTCAATCTCATTGGCTACGTCAAACCTGTGTCTTGCTTCAGAATAGTGTCGTGAAACATGACTGATTGAATATTTACGCTTACTTCCAGATTAGAAACATCCCATTTTTAATGGCGTAATGGTTGCTTTTGCTCACCGAAATTGGCGTTTGTTTTCTTTCACAATTTTTCATTACAACTACTGCTTCCTCAAAAGGTTTTATTCTATTCCGATCTGTAAGCTTTGTATACCTCTGTATATTTGATGAGCCTTTGGTGTCGCAATGTTGTCTGATACTGTTTCAACTCAAACCGTCAGTTCTGCTGACCGTTGTTTAGGTTTTGCATATTGTAGCCCCAATCATTTTTTTAATTTATTCCTCCAAAGTATCGGAGCCTTGAATAACCTTGTACATTCTTCTGTTGGATTTCAAACTCAATCTGATAGTATTTAGGCAACCAATTTGGATCTGTTGCACGGACTTAGAACACACACTGACATACAAATCGAGTCATGTTAATATCTGTGTGTACCCCAGGGCTCCACTCTAGTCAAAACCGACACCACAGACGCGCAACCAACACATTTTCAGCGGGGATTATTACCCCGGAACTCCAGCCACACTCTGTGGTCTGTCTTCAGTCTTCAGGGTTGAGGGCAGAGGACAGGGTGTCCGTGTATGCCCCATCACCACTGGGTCGAAGGTCCGATCACAAGTGTTCGTTCCTCCATAGCCCCTTCAGGTGCTCATCCAGACGCCGTTTAAAAGCAGCGTCTGTCTTCTCTTCCACCACAGCTGCTGGAAGGGAATTCCAGAGTGTAGGTTGGTTCATATTTCACTAAAGTGCTACGAATATTCCGTATAAATAACTCTTTCCAATGCGAGCACCTAACTGGACTTCGGATTTCAAAGTCACAAAAAATGTTTTCCAAAAACATATCTAACAAATAAGAAATTATCATTGTATAATGGACAAAACACACAGTTGTTCCCGAACACTTCTTCTTTTGACTTGTACTGTTACGTAAATGGTTGCATGATGTTCTCGGTGTATGTGCGGTGGCGTTTTGAATGGTGAACAGATTTACCGGGTGGTCCGTGAAAAAATGTGAGTGTTGGATGCATGAACTGAGAACAGGGATGAGAATCATTCAGTTTGGGATACCGGACAAAGCGATTAATCAGTAGGTGCAGCACTGAATATGCGCCTGTTTAGTTCTCCAAAGCGATTTGCGAAGCTGCTTCACTCACCGCTACCGGGAGGTGAACTCTGCCCCAATGCTCGATGGTTACGGTTTCCACGTACCCGTAAACCAAAACTGAAAATGGTTAATCTGTACCCAATCTGTAACCTCAATATATCTCATAACCATTTCTACCCACCTAATATCTGGTTTTGTCAACAAACTCTGTCTATCAATATAATTAACAAATATACCAAAAAAAACACCATGCAAACATGAAACTTCTTTTTTCCCAATTTATGTAACCGTATTTGGCAAGATAATGATGGCTGTTCAGTGTTTACCAAGTTTTCCGATCGTGTGTATTTTGGTTTATCAAAATCAAGTGAAGAAGACCGCGTTAGGTCAAAATCGATGCTGCGTTCATTGATAAATGCAAGCAGATTGTACAAACACACTGTGGCAAATAGAACTCAATAGTTTAGTCAATTCTCTTCATGGAACTGATCAACGATGTTCCTAACTATTTTCCCCAATTTATACAGTGTGTTTGTACCTTCCCTGTTTCAACGGGATGATTCACGAGCAACTGTAATCAGACTAATCCTGGTGATGTCAATAATGAATACTTTGAACCTATGGTCATCCCCAAAGCGGCTTATTTCCCTTAAACGTAAAAGCATTCATAGCCCCCCTAAAACTCATCATTATACCCGTGGCTAGTTACACATTCCAAAACCCTTCAAGCGAAACTCGAATAAAAAAATTTGAAACCAAAGTTAAATTAACTGTAAAAAAATACATATAATCTCAATCAATGGAGACATAGAAAAGGAGTGAGCAGTATGTCAGTTATACTTCATTTGTGTGGTACGTAAAGAAGCTTGTCTTGTGGATTCGTTTCAATATAAACAGGATTGAAGACATATTCAAAATTCACATTATTCAACTATATTGTATTTTGCCCCTTTGAACCTTCTCCCTGGCGGAACCAAGATTACAATTGGATCAGGCAAGCGAAGATCAATCCTCGGTAAAAACATTTGGAAGTTCACCGCGAATGCGATTGTGAGTTTTGAAGTGTTTGCGTTCGCGTCATCTCCGCTCTAATCTGTCTCGTTTCACGGTAGTTCCGTTCAGCCTTTCGTATCAACCTTTGGTCCCTATCGCGCTGTCAGACCCCGTTTAGTTCTGTTCGTCTTCAGCGGTCGACGTAATTGGTGGTGTTAGGACAGATCATCCGACTTCGCCTTCTTGCCATCACTCATTTCCGCGAGGGTTCTATTGTAGACAGTCCCCAAACTGCACGTCACTTGCTCATATTCTCAGAAAATTGATTTTGCAGCTTCACGCCAAAAAGATCAGACGACCAAAATATAAACCGGTTGAAAATAAACTGGAAAAAACAGTGATTTACTGGTGGTTTGTAAGAATTTCACTCTGTCTGCATTTCCCATGTCTACACTCCGATAGCCAGTCACGCTATTATGATGTATCGGACTGTCTTTATCATTCATTTCGTGATTTGACGAGAAATGACGCAATAAATATTGAATGGAGTGAAAAAAACGGATTAATTGTTTTCTTCATAATGATGCTGGCGCAATGGTTTAGTCTCTATCACCCATGTACTTTGGACCCTGTGATTCGAGGTTCAAGCACCGCCACCCACTTTTGGTGGTAGGCCTCTTTGCTGTCGCCTAGTTCTAAACCAGCTAGCGAGGCCTTGTGTGGTTTGCCATTTCAAGTCCATGGGGTCAGGTTGCTGGTTACCATAATTGAACAGCAGGTCTTCGTGACCACGGGGTCCTCTCCGAATACTGTCTGTCACACATGAGTTTGAAATAAAAAATTGTATTCACATGGTAAATACCGAACGGCGTGTAATCATTTATTTAAAATATGGGATAGGGATGAAATATACTGGTGAGATTAAACGAATCATTGAGGTTGAATAGGACAGAGTAACTTTGTTGCAGCACTTTTATTTGTTCTCTTTGTTCTGGCCAAAAATATCTGAAGTGATTACACACAATACTTGAATAAACTTAACCTGTGTCATAGTAGAGCACTGATCTACTTCAAACAAAATGTTTTACAAATGAAAAATGTTATTCAGTTGCATGGCCTGAAATAAGGTTTACCGAGTTGGACCACTCTTCATTGATGCACTATCTCACCTTGTACATTCCTATAGTCCTTGAGTATCTCTTTCTCTCTTCAGTCACATCAGTGTTTCATCGTTTGCGCAGTTTGCAATGCACTCGTAACGCGGACAACCAATGTGATCAAATCCATACGAGGCACAGAAAAATTATTTATTTAAATAATGAAAATGAATGAGTTGCAAATAATATAAAAATAGGGGAACGGTTAAGTAACAGACCAATATTCTGAAATGGTTGGAGGTCAATTTTCATTGAAATCAACTGTTCTTGGAGCTGGATTATTTGTTTGCGAACTTTCTAGTAAATTTTAGCCTACAGCGGACCAGATCGGTCGAGGCACAAACGCAGTCAATCTGAGACAAAAAAGAACCAGTGTGCCTTGCACCATTAAAAGTTGACTTCAGTTCGGACGACTTGGAATAGATTTTCGAGGATCAGCACTAGGAGTTCCGCAGTGCTTATCATGAAAGTTTATTGATTTTTGAAAAACAATCTTTAGATTCCACTGATTGAAAAATAATTGTCTTAAAAATTTTCGGTCAGTCATGAAGTTGACACAGAGTATACAGAATAGGGGTAATCTGGGTACATTGAAATTAAACACATACTCATCGGAATGATGTGATCTTAACCTAAATCTTAGTGCACGAAATCCAAACACAGTGCAAATGGAATTGTAAAAAGAAATGAAAAAGAAACAAAATTGCCTGCAAGAAACAAAAAATTCAGGTGCTTTCTGTTCTATTCTATTCAGCACATAGTTGCTTTGGCTAAATATACATGATGATTGGTACATATATATATATATCTTACATCGGCTAAGAACAAGTACTGTGATGATGCAACAACTGAAAAGGAAAGGGGCCAATCAAGGTGTATAGAAATGGGATAAATGTGGCAAACGATTTCCCCCAAAGACAGAAAGAATTGGAACAATGATTTTGCGAGAGAACGGTACCGTAATGCTTATCTGTACTATTCTTATGTTGTTCTTCTTCCGTCATGCCAAACGGATATGACTCATTTAGTGCCAGTCAATTCCATCTTCATGATATCTGGCTATTCATGAAGTTATTAGTTTATACTGCTATTCTATGCTACTGGTGTCTGATACAGAAGCATCGTTTCGGCATGGCAAAGATCAAGAACTACCATTTGAGCATCGTTATCCACATGGTATGAGGTTAAATGAATAATGACATTACTGGAACGGGGTCAAAGGTTAAATTTTCATTGATTGCAACCCTGGGAGATTGTGTTGTTCAAGGCAACACTTTACGATGTGCAACGTTTGTCCGGATAAATATTAGTCGGGATTGGATTCGATGGGATTGAACTGTCAAATGGAATCACTTTGGGAAAATCAGCACCAGTGGTTTCGGTATCATGCGATGTGATCCAATTATTCCATTGGGTACTTTGTACCAGCAATTAAAACCCCGGAGCTATCGCTATGGACGGAAACATTCCCTATCTGACTACTATAAGTAAAAAACAGTAGAAATTGATGTTCCGTTGTTTTCTTTGTCGACGTTTTTAATTCATTCGTTTGCTTGTACGGTGATTAGATTGAAATAAATAATTAATAAATCAGTTAGGCTATTGCGTAGGTTTAATAGGGGTTCAGAGCAAAAGCGAGCCACCAAATGCCATAGAACATTCTGTTGTCCACTGAACCAGTTTCTGTCCAAGTCTAAGTGTTAGAAGCAGAAACCTTCTTTTGCATGCGATGGCACTGTTTGTGATAAATGACAAAGATCCCTGGACAGCTATTTCGTCCTGTTTGGGACTCGTCAGCAGTGTCTACTTTGTGTGTCCCTGTCAGGACTCAAACCGCGAACTTTCGGGTTGGGACTTCAAACCCTTAACCCCGAGCTACGCGGTCGACGGTCATTACCTTGTTCAAATGGCTCAATCAATTTTTACGGTAACAAGCTTGAACTAGCCCATTCTATTATAAAGAGACACCGGACACTCTTGATGGTCTTTGGTGTGGGTTTCACTCATTGAGAGATCGTTAATTCCCCACGAGATAATGCATTCACATGCGATGGAAATATTTGTGATAACCAACCAACCAATGATTTTACCAGACTTCTGCTCCGATAAATCAAGAATAAATTTGTAAACCAACATCAAATTTGTGTGTGTGCGACGAGTCCAGAGTGCCTGGTGCCTTTTTACAAGCATGAAAAAAACAATGTGTTGTTATGTATGATAAAAAAGCCTTCATGATTCATGTAATTCGTTTATCTCCAAATTTCAGAAGCCCCAAAAAGAGAAATGAACCCAATCCAGAACCAATCCTATCGAAAGATGAACACTCGGCGATTCTGATTCAGCGTGCATGGCGTGCACATCGAGGTCGTGGNGGTTTGGAATTACGCAAGAGACAGAAAGTGCAGAACATGCAGATGCGTGCTGAGGCACGTGATAAAGAGGTTCGCATTGTTATCCACTTGTTCTATTTTTGATGCGTGATGCTGTTGAAGCTGAGTAAAGATGCGCAAATAGCCAGTTCAACAAGGGTCACCTTACCAATTCAGCAAGACAATTGATCATAAGCAGTCAGTGGTAGATTGCTATTTAAAAAATGTGTTTCTTTGTTTCAGTTTCAGTTTTTACAACCCATAAACATATGCTTTCGTGCCTGGTTGAGATTGCTGTCTTTTGGCGGCTCATTTGAATAAAAGAGCAGAATGAACATTACAGTGTTGAGAGCATGTTCAAGTGGAAGATGGTGAATTCGTTTAGACCAGGACTGCATGAATAATGAATAGATGCACGAGGCATTAAATCTGTTATCCCCGGACTGAGAGACTGAACCATATATTGGGGTAAATGAGTTGTGAGTATCATGAGTATCATGATTCAACATCCCATCTCAAACACTTGCTAAGCATACAAAGTCATTTTCCTCTGGAATCGAACATACTCTCTTTCTCTATCTGTTAGGTTTAAGACACAGAAGATTCACAACTGTGCCACGTGCATGCATGAGCCAGCGCCTAAACAACCTGGGATAAGGTGTGCATCTGTTTAAATATTTGACACTGCAATTTTGTTGAGTTTCTTTCATTGATTCCATTTGTTTCATATTCGTCTCGTGAACAATTTACTACTCAGCAACGTGTCACATTGTTTCGGTCAATCTTTGATCAGATACCTTTCAAACAGCGTAACTCGTCATACACAATTGAGTAGCTTTTTAATGATATTACACAATAACACTAACACAAGTCGTTAACTTTTAAGAATCGTGTCATTATCTCGGGCTCATTTTTTTTTACTAAATGACAAACTAGCGTTTGGTTTGTTCAATTATATTCATCGGCGCATAACTAGCAGTTTTCATGTTGAAAACAATTATTACTGTCATGTAATAATCCCTGAAGATAAAAATGAAGGACAATCGACGAGCGAATATTCTCTCCATATTGTTTCAATTTTTTCGGACTATTTGAGCCTCCTAATACACATGGTGAGAACAGTTTTGAAGCAATGTAACAACGTTCATTCTTGTGATACCCTGCTAGTGCGGAAGTGAGTTTCTGTTCAAGCCATGAAAATGGGACATACAGCTGAAACAAACCTGGCCCTAGCTGAAAACAAGAAAGTTTCCTTTTGGTCAAACCCCAGCATGCTTCCCAGTTGCAGTTGTTGTAACCGTTAATCATGCACCTTCTCAAGGAGCTTCAGTTACTGTATTTGGACTGCCTAGTCAGATAAAAGAGCAGAAATCATATTGGAATCTTGAGAGCCAATTCAAAGTGAAAATAGGGGGATTCAAATGGACTAAGGCTGCAAGGATCAAGAGTAGATTCACGAGCGCCACTATTTACGACACTCAACTACATCATTCAGAGCGTTTAACCGCCGGTTACGAGCGCCACAGTGTGATGATCAACCTGTACCGATCGTTAGCTTATTACTTTGTGCTTTGTAGTTTGTAAACTCGCCATCCTGATTGTATTTCACATGTACTGCTTGTCGACGTTGGACTGGCCACGCCACCCCTCCTGGCACGTGTGTAAATGAATGAATGCTGAATAATTGTAATAAAATCTTGTACATACGTACGTTCCACTGATCCTTGGCAGTTGTGGTAGCTTAGGGCTTCAGTCGTCTACTAATGACTTAAACCAATGCATGAGTGCAGTGACCGAAGTGCGAGCAATATTATCGGATCCGGGTAGTGATTTTCCCCTGCTAATCGTTAAGATAAAACTTGTGGTTTTTCACCGGTGAATAAATCACCCAAAACGAGCTTGTTCACTGCTGTGTGGTTTTCTCACGATCTCTGATTACTGTATGCAGGCATTATCCTACAAATCTGTTCGGAATATGCGGTATTGTTTGTTGTCAGATTGTTCACTCCGGAAGTGGTGAGATGTGAACAGTTTACGGAATGGTTTTTAAGAAGTATTTTACACCACGATCAAAATGAATCACCCATACAACTCCGTTGACATGAATTTCTGACCGTGACATGTTTCCTATACAATAGGCCCGGAGTTCTAAGCCCGAACAAGGCAGTGGTCTGACACTAGTGAAGAACTTTTTTAATAGCAAAATTTGGATTTTATCATTCGAACATGTTTGATTGTCTGGATGAACTGAGAACTATGCATGAAGGATGAGCAGCCCAAATCATTTTCTGGAGCAATTAGGGATATGTATGTTGACAAAAGAAGAGGAAGTGGAATAACTGATTTGGCGGGAACTAACCACTTGTTCATCTTTGAGTTAAACGTTACCGAAACGTCTTGATCAGATGATCAGATTCGCCGAAGTTTGGGATTATTGTGGTTAGGAGTAGCACAGTATCTATTTGAGCCCAGTAAATTCATTCGTATGTTACAGTATCGCATGAAAACGACAAACCATCTTTTTTTCTCTCTCTCTCTCTCTATTTCTGTGCTTCTTTCAGGCTGCGACACAACTAATCAAATCCGCTATACAAGGTCACCTCAGTCGAGAGAGCTCACTGCGTGTGGACAGGACCAAAGGGGATGCGAGCGAGATGGACGAAGTGGACACGGTCACATTCGCTACGGACGACGGGGAAGATGTGACGAGTGACCGTGTCGGAGAAACAGTAATGTTTGTAGAAGAGAAAAAACAACGAATGACCGATTTGAAAAGTGCAATCCGAGGTCATTTGGAGCGGGAGAAATCGTTAAATTCACTTCACATATCAGATAACGCATGACTCGTCTGTTTGACTGTCAGGTTGCCCAGTTCAATACTTCTTTACCCAATCACACAATCACGATTCAATTTTGTGGGTTTGATAATTGGTGATGAATGATGCATAGAAAATGTCCGTCTTTCGTTTTTGCTTCTGAGGGATCTGATTTTATCCTGTGCTGTTGAGTGCGCCGGCCAATTCGCCACAAGTTTCATAACCTCGTAGTTCCGAGTTGTCATAGAAACGTCAGTTGCCAACCAGATTGACAACTGTATACTGCATCCCTATTTAGTGAGTGAGTAGATCGCTTAGTAACATCCAGGATANGCACGCATCCGAGTCAGACCACGCACATGTTTGCTACACTCCAGGCAAACTGAGACCAATTGGATCGATCAATTGATATGGCAAGGCCGCCAGTTGACTGGGACGTCTCGGGCAGTTCTCCTATACGTGATTGTGCTATATATTTGCGTATCGAAATCTAACTGAAGGAATAAACACTGACTTTGTCTCTAGCTGTGTTCTCTCTCCGTTTTATTGTTGGAGATTAATCAAGAGTCGTTCGTGTCATTCGTAAGTCTAGATCGAACACAACATTTACCGAATATTATGTCCCGCATTATGTTCTTGGGTATTTTGTGATGATAGATTATCGGGATGGTCAAATAGCTTATACACAATGAACTATACTTCTTACACGATTACTTCGCAACTATTCAAAACAGACCGAGAAAAATGAGACGGAATGATGCTAACGCTCATTTTCAGCTATTTAAAATTTCCTTACAACATATTGATTATCTCGAACCGGGGTTTTAAAGTGAAAGACTGTTGTTGAACTCGAACGAGAGCGAAACACTAGAGTCTATAGTGCTTCACAAGTGTAATGTGGATTGGATAAATGAAAGATTATGCGTACGGATGGAGTCGTAACAACGGCCACTTCAGATCAATGACATTTATCCCATACGACTACATATAAGTAATTGTTAGTTAAATACGAATACACATATTATTAGTTTGAAATATCCAAAGGTGAGATATTGTTTTGTTTATTTGTTAAACGCGAGTGTATGTGTATTGAGACGAGAGAATATTACAAATCAGATAGACTAATTATTTTGTGAATAAAAATATATTTTTAGTCAATGATACGCGTGTACGAAAAGAACCGGGTAGTGTAATCGGTGGCTTAATCGGTTTTCCAGTACTCTCGCCCCCGCTCGCGACAAGTCTCTACTAGGGTAAAACAGTACTGATAACATCCGTAAACCATTGAGAGTGTTTCACGGGTTGCAAATACATAAAATAGGTTTTAATGGAACTACAATTTTGTGGTATTTGTTGGGAGGAGGAGGCGTACACGTGGGTGAACTGTTCCATGATTTACACTATCAACTTTATTCAAAACTAATGGAAAAAATAGAGTTCGCATTACCAGTAAAAAAGTAAGTCAATCAATTATTTTTTTATTTTTAGGGTGATGATAGTTTATTCACAATCATCATACGTTAGATTGAGCACCGAGTACGGACGATTATTGTGCAAACCGCCAAAGGTCTGGAAGTTGTATTGATCTCAATCAATGCGTTAGATGCGGTCTGTCAGTTTGGTTATTTTCAGTTCAGGTGACACTTACTGTGGACATAGATAGAAAGACATTGAGCAGGTTGGAACGTCACCTGTGCACCCAAAGGAGTCAGATGAACTAAATGAGGCAGAAGATACAAAGAAATCTGGGACTGGTTATTACCAAGAGCGTTCTTTCACTGGGTGATTTGAATTGGCTATTCGAAGTGCGCTTACACAACTGAGTCGCGAGCCTACCAAATATAAACACATAGTTTGTTTATTGATTATCGGAAGACAGTAAACTTTCAGGAGGGAGCCGCTACTGCATAAATTCTGTCCGGGGAAATGCAGATGATGGGGAAACGGGTAGGCGAGCTCCCGGACTCCCGGACGGTTAGTTTAAAGAACTTTCCACCACCGCCCAACTTCTAGCGTTTTTGCAGAACCAGACTGTCAGTTCACCGAAACAATCATCTCAAACAAGTTGCGTTTATCGGATTGTTCAGGTAGGTGACATTTTTATTTATTCTTTTATTCATGCAGTACAACGTGTACAATCAAAATAAACCGTAAATGATGAGAACTCAAAATTGGCGGCAAACAAGTTCGTTTTCAGTACACCTTAATCATGTCATTCCAACACTATATCACACAAAAAGCCCTCTGTTTTTCTATCTTTGATAACTTGGGCTAGAGATATCCATGGCATAAAATCTTACAAAACAGTGACTAAAGGTCAATCTTAATCAGTGACAAGTGAATTTTATAGATGGAGAAAAAACAAACATGATCTGGTTGGGTGGCGTTTTGGTTGCATCTGGTCCCAATTTAGACAAGATATTTGTTTGGTTCGGCTGTTTCTACCTAAAAGTTCGTCGACATGGCTAGATATGAATCATGTGACAAGTGCTTTTGTTCAAACATGACCGGTCCACTGTTTGTGATAAAATGGATGCAGTAGTGGGATTTCCCGGGTTTTTTGGTTAGTTATCACTACTAGTTTTCTGGCAGTACGCTACCAAAATTTCTCCTTATTTCTGTCTTTGTCGTGAACCTATCTGTCTGTGCTCTATCAACTATACCTATGATAGTTTTTAAAATGTGTCGACATTGATCAAAGCCTTCCATAAACACAATATAAGATGTGAAAACCTAAAGGACTAGTCGATGGTCCGTTTATTGGAATTACAAAACAAAAGCATCAAAAGAGGGTTGACATTAGATTAGGTATTCGTAGTTATTCATTTATACTCACCAGTTCATTTTCATCCAAGTCAAGAAAAGACTTTAATTCGCCGTCCGATTGTCTGCATTACACGCTGGTGATTGTGGTTGCGTTTGTTTCGTCAATTTCTCGATGCAAAGCATGCCTAGGATCTACAGGTCTTCTCCGACTGAAAATTGTGAATCTTATGCTTCCCACAAATTGCGCGTTTAGTGAGATTCATCAATGTGTTTGGATTAAAAACGGGGCGGATCACGGACTCCACGAATTCACAGTTCTTCTGCCAAGATGCCGTGTCATCATTGGTCCACGCTAACATGCGCTCGCTAATCGCTTGTTTAACTTCCATTCTGAACACAAGCATTAATTACAACACATGTGTTGCATGTGTAAAAACTAGTTGGTTGCATCAAAACTTCGAGGATGTGATATAAAACAATTCTAACGAATGCATTCACTGTTTGTCTGTTCCTTTTTTTAGCACACATGTCCCCGTCACAAAGTACAATCATCGCTACTGTGTATGTGTAATGTGTATCTCCTTCATGTTCTCAGACGGAAATCTCTGCTTTGTTCCGCTTTCTTCCAGTCCTACATCCCGTTCCTAGTTCCATTATTAGATGAAAATCTTCATCTGGTGGTTAGTGACTTCAATCATAGAAGAGAAATTCCCTCTTCCTTCCGTTTGGTCTATCTCATTTATCTCTTTCTCCTACCAGGGATGATTCTGTGATGGATAGAGTGAACACAACACACCTAACCCTGGTTTTTACCAGTGAGCATAGTATTCTTCTTGTTAGACCAAAGATATACTCTCACACTGCTTATCAAACATTCATACGTTCTAATCAGATAAAATATCATCTAAGGGACTGTTCACCCAACCGCATCTATCTTCGCAATCGTTCTGCTGTGATTGGTCAGTCTTGGTTTGATTCTGGTTCATCGCTTTTCAAACGTGTTAGTCTGTTCATTGAAACGATCAAATCACTCACTCTCTCTCTCCCTTGTATTGCCTCACGTCTGAGGCGGTAGAATTATCCCACCTTTTTGAAATCAATCAAATCTCGAATTAATGCATACCGCAATTCACGCATACCGTATATTGCTCGTCTACTCACAAACAAAGAGCGAACAATAAGTGAACTTTGTCTTCACCTTGGATTATGAATGTCTCTATGCCTGCAAAAACTTTTCTCCCTGTTGATTATGTACATTGTGACGGTTAGCGTGTATGCTTTTTAACCGAATTGTCAGCTCCAGTGCTTGCAAAAGTTATACACAATACACAATACAATACAATACAATGAGAAAGCACAAAGAAAGGAACAACAAATCTCGCCATGCATCCGTGTTTAACCTTTATTCGACTTAATAATAAAACCTGAAATAACGCATCTGAATGCACTCTTCACTGCCCAAAGGCCGCGAACAAAAAGTACCAGGCTTCTATGCCAAGGTGTTTGTATTCTCTGTGAACAGAACAGAAAACACTCGAGTACCCCGATGGAGGTCGTCTCAACATCGCTTTCATCCACCAGTCAAAAGAGAGCCAGATCTCCTCCTTCTGGTACAAGAATCCAATTCAATAGCTTTTTGCAATGATGAAATCTTTAGGCTTCTCAAATTTTCCAACGCATCCTCGGCTGCAGGTCCAAATGGTATTCTTCTGGCAATCGGCAACTTTGGAGCAGGTTCCTAGCCAGTATGATGGTAGGTCAGGATAACGAGCCTCTGTCTTCTCCGTTGATTCCCGATTCTTGGCGTCAAGTTACGATAAATTTCAATCCCCAAGTATTTGTCCGCAACTGTATCTGCCAAACGATTTCGTCCTTTCACGCTGACCTCTTGAGCTCTAAATGTGACTGAAAAGACCATTCTGATTCTCTTGCATTCAACCACCACAATCCCCTTTGACCACTTCAGTTTTTATATAAACCAAACTGATTCATACTGGACGCTGTATCCATCCTAATCTATTGTACCGATCAGTCATTGAACAAATTGGCCGTCTTTCTATTGCTTTTGTTCGTGACTATTCGTCCGCGTTTCTCGATCATCCGATCTTTTCAAATCTGAATCTTTTGGCTCTCTAAGATAGCTTCTCTCACGGCTTTCCGACTACACCACACAGAAGGTCCCGTTCACTAAATAGAGAAGGAAGATATCAAAACCTCCTGTTAATAATTATGGTGTGTTTTAGGGTACTGTTCTATCTTCA